TCCCACTGTTGAAGTCCCTGCTTCTCTGCTTTTGTTACTAGGATGACTTCGCTTTACAGCCAGTGCAGAGACAGAGGCACGTCTGGAGGATGCCATCTTGTCCTCGCTTGGCTATGAAGGATGATGTGAGTCACACCCTTGCAGTCCCTGCTTCTCTGCTTTGGTTGCTGGGATGACTGGGATCCATGTGGGTATCACCAGTGCCCATCCGAGTGGCACAGCCCATCCAAGTGGCACGAGGGATCCATGTGAGTATCACCAGTGCCCATCCAAATGGCACGAAGGGTGTCGGAACCAGGGGGCATGGTTGGAACCTCACCTCCACCTATCAGATCTGGCCAAACCCTTAAAACAGAACATCTCACTCCTCCTCCCACTCCTTGGTTCCAAAACACAGTGGTGTTGCTGGAGACAGGCAGTCCGGGGTGCGGCTGCTATCTTGCCTTTTGATTAAAGCTTCTGGATCCTGCCAGCAGGTTTAGCTTTCTCAAGGATTATGGTTTTCTCATTCCCTCTTCTGAGATGATGCAAGCCAAACAAGTCTGTACCTCTAATTTTGTTCCCACCCATCAGTCTCCTGTCAATGCACACTGTCAGGAGCTGTCTCACACCTTGTTTCCAAACAGCACCCAGCATGGTGAGCTCTCAACTTTTTGCTACACTCCAACACAATATTTAAAAAATAAAATATAACAAACAAATGAAAAAAAAAAAAGTCAGTAACAATACTTAGAAAAAAAGCGTGCAAGAGAGTAACTTTCCTCTCCAAAACAGATTTAAGGTTGAAAGGAAATTTTAAGGCCTTCGACACGGTCCCCCAAAACATCCTTCTCTCTAAATTGGAGGGATATGGATTTGATGGGTGGACTGTTCAGTAGATGAGGAATTGGTTGGATGGTCACTTGCAGAGGGTAGTGGTCAACAGCTCAATGTCCAGATAAAGATGAGTGACAACTGAATTCCCTCAGGGGTCTGTAGCAGGATGAGTCCTGCTCAATATCTTCATCAATGACATAGACAGGGGGGTTGAGGGCACCCTCAGCAAGTTTGCTGATGACACCAAGCTGAGTGGTGCAGTTGACCAACAAGAGGGACAGGATGCCATCCAGAGGGACCTGGACAAGCTCAAGAAGTGGGCCATGTGAACCTCACGAGGTTCAACAAGGCCAAGTGCAGGGTCCTGCACATGGGTTGGGGCAACTCCCGGTATCAATGCAGGCTGGGGGATGAAGGGATTGAGAGCAGCCCTGAGGAGAAGGACTTGGAGGTACTGGTGGATGGAAAGCTGGTCAGGAGCCAGCAATGTGCGCTCGCAGGCCAGAAAGCTAGCTGTATCCTGGGCTGCATCAAAAGAAGTGTGGCCAGCAGGTTGAGGGAGGTGATTCTGCCCCTCTACTCCGCTCTGGTGAGGCCCCACATGGAGTACCATGTCTAGCTCTGGGCTCCCCAGTACAGGAAAGACATGGACCTGTTGGCGCGGGTCCAGAGGAGGGCCACAAAAATGATCAGAGGGCTGGAGCACCTCTCCTGTGAGGACAGGCTGAGAGAGTTGGGGTTGTTCAGCCTGGAGAAGAGAAGGCTCTGGGGAGACCTTATAGCAGCCTTTCAGTACTGAAAGGTGGCTTATAAGAAGGATGGGGATAGTGTTTTCAGCAGGGCCTGTTGCGATAGGACAAGGGGTAATAGTTTTAAACTAAACCAGGGTAGATTCAGACTACACACAAGGAAGAAATGTTTTACAATGAAGGTGGTGAAACAGACACAGGTTGTCAAGAGAGGTGGTAGATGCCCCAGTCCCTGGAAACATTCAAGGTCAGGTTGGATGGGGCTCTAGGCAACCTGATCTAGTTGAAAATGTCCCTGCTCATAGCAGGGGAGCTGGACTAGATGACCTTTAAAGGCCCCTTCCAATCCAAACTAATCTATGATTCTATGACTCTGTGAGAACTGCTGTGGCTCTCACCAACTGACAGACTGTAAAATAAAGACCATTACATTTGAAGCATCAATTCTTTTATCATAGTTGTTATTGTGTTAAGAAGCATCTCTTGACTTAAAGAATTAAAATGTTGGAGCTTTCAGCACAACTCTAAGTAACTCATTCTGATAGTTAATTATTTGCACTGTTAAAAAAGTTGCCTTGTACCTCTATTCTGAATCTATCCTACTTCTGTTGTACTTGTACTTCTTTCTAACAGCCTGAAGATTAACAGAGATCTCTTGAGTCTGAAGGCTGTGATAAAGTGCCAAAGGATGTAGCTTCTGGATTTTATTAATTAAATTCAGTATTTATGCAATGCGTTTGTGCTTCATGGTTTACAAGGTCCCTGTCAGACTCCCACTGTGCAAGTTTTTGTACAAACTCAGAACTGGTACCTGTCCTAATGGTGTTATTGCCCAGAGAGCAATATGTTTGAGTGCTTCACCATTCACAGTGGTCACCCTCTTCCTCTGACTGTGCACCACAGACAACCTCCTCCATCATTCTATGTCACTGTCCATGCTTAATCCTTCCTGTCTTTTTCTCCTCTGATTTCAGCTGTGACACCGCTTTGAGGCATCCACTGGCTGCTGTGGTTGGAAACTGTGAGTGCAGCCAGGAGGAAATGCAACTGAGGAAGGAGAAGATCCAGATCAGCACCCCTGGTAGTTCAAGGTGGTTAGTGGCCTCTTCCTGGCCCACCCTTGTTTGTGAGCATCACAGCAGAAGGTGAGCAATGATTCCTCACCAACATGAGGGGTACCACGGGGAAGGTATGAAGACATCTGTCTAAACACCTAACAAGCAGGCAGCAGACTGGCATCAAGACCTGGTTTAAGGTGGGAATCAAAATCCCAACAGCATGTTGCTAAGCTCTTCCCCAGAAAGAGTCTATTGTCCTTCTGCCCTCCTGGCACTTGAATCTCTTAATTTTAACAGGAATATTGTTTCACTCTCGCTTTTCTCCCTAGCTCAGCACTGGGCTCCTTTCCCAGACCAACTTTTTAGGCTTATTTTAAAAAGAAACTCTTTCCCCATGAGACAATGAGGAGGCAGATGCATTCTCTCACATGCCATGGCATGTCTGCTGGCACTGCTGTCCTCCAAGCCCAATCTTTGGTATCTCCACTGAATCAGATGGCATTTCTCCAGTGGGACTGCTTGCCCTTGGAGACACTTTCTTTTTCCTTTCCTTCTCAGAAGAATGGGACAGCTACATACAGCACCAGGATCCCACCCTGAGGTCGTGGTAGGAGACAGAAGATCCGGCCTGGAAAAATATTTGGAGTTAGGAATGTTTTGAAAGACTAAACTAGAGGGGTCAGGCATGCGGGGAGAAAGATTTGCTATTTGTAGCAAATCCAGTGTCAGCCATGTGAACAGAGAGACAGGGCTGGAGGCACAGTGTGGGAAAGCAGGCAAACAAGCCCAGCAGCTTCTCCTGGCTACAGGGTTTGGACACTGGCATGCTTTTCAGGTTGGTTTTGCAGGGAGGTATTCTTTCCTTTGAGACATTGGTCTCGGTGCTTGAGACCCTTGAGGAAGAGGAGGATGGGTCATCCATGTTATCTCAATGAAGATGGATGAACACCTCCTTTCATTCTCCTTTCCCCTTCCTATTCCTCATATTTTATCCTAATTTTCTTATCACAGAAGGAGACAGCTTTCCTCAGCTCACTGTCATCTCTTCACTTGACCTTGTGTTTCCTCATGCCTATTTCCATTCATTTTCCATCTTAACCTTTCCTTAATATCCCAACTTTTAAGGAATACAGATCCCACTTCAACTCAAATTTTTGTCCTAATCTCCTCCTTTTTGTCCGGAGCAGCACCATTTTTTAGATCCTTACCTGTTTTCTTGCCTTTCCCTCTCTCCAATCTCTCTGTCTTTGATCTGTGTTCTCCAACACGCTCTATCTCTGGTACTCCTTGCAAAGTCTGTGTCCATACAATCTCTTGCCCACAGCCTCTCCTGTCCACCCACACACCTCTGCCTGCCCCTGAGAGATCCCTTTTCTCACCTGTCCCCTTGACAATGTCACCTGCCTCTGCAGGTGATTCCTGGGCTCCCCCTCCTCCATCAGGTCAAACATCATGTCCTTGCCTGCACTGTGGGGCCTGTTGCCCTCTCACCCCTTGGTGGGTTTGGAGGAGGCAGCCCTGGTTCACTGCTGGCTCACGCTGCCCGCTTCCAACCCACTGTGCATTTTCCCTTCCACTCCCATCAACAGCCTTGGGGCTGGTTTGGATCCAATATTAATTGATCCTTTTGCATCACTCCCTGCAGGCATCACAAGGAGTGACACCTAAAAGCCTGCGACAGCAGATAAGCTGCTGCAGCACTGAGTTTTCAAAACCTCTGGCCAACTCTGTCTCACTGTGTTTGACTCCTCTGTCTGTGATGCCTTGGCTGAGAGTGATCTTCCCAGGGCAGGGCAGTCCTTTGGCCCTTATCTTCTCTGTGCAGCGAGTGCCACACCACCATGATGGCACCAGTCTCTTCAGGAATGGTGATGTTAGCAAGAACAAAAAAAAAAAAAATAGAGAGCTCCACATTCAAGGGTTGCAACAGCTATCTTAAATTAGATAGAAACTGGAGAGGGAGTTTGAATGGAGAGACAATGGGATTGGAAGTAGAGGAGCAGAGCTCCATGCTGGCTTTCACGTCGATGGTTTTCCTAGGAGATAAGGGCCTGAGGCTCTTGCTCTTCAGGCTGAGTCAAGGGTTTGCTGGGAAGTACAGAGCTAAATAGGCAGGTGGATCCCAGCCTCAGAGCCTGAAAGGAAAGAGCTGCTCAGAGTTTCCAAAAAGCAGATAAGAAACCCTTGAGGCTCTGAAGACAGCTTGGGGCTGTGCATCCTGGTGAGACAGAGGTGCTCCAGGAGGCTGATGCACCCATCCAGGGCAGAGGCAGGACGTCTGTGTTTCCTGGTGGAAGTCATCGAGCTGCTCAGCGTGCCAGTCACTGCCATGCCCATCTTGAGACTCCTCACCCTGCCTTTTCCTTCAGTTGGGACCATGCCTGTCCTGGGGTCATGCGGGTCAGTCTTGGAGCAGGGTGTTTAAAGGCATCACCTGGTCTAGCTTTGCCTGGGCAGCAGGGCTTTCTGCACTTCTGAAAATTCTTTCCTCTGCTGCCCAGGAAATTGCAAGCCTCAGATCAGACAAGTATTTAATAGCTAAGGTTTAGCTTCAGTTCTTGATTTCCCAGGAGTCTTTTTGCATCCAGTAAAATGAAATTTTAAGCCTGTCTTTTTGGAGCTGCTCTCTCCGGGTCAGGATGTGTCCACGCTTTCATTTCCAGTGTCTTTCCTGAACATGACTAACTCTTTCTGTCATGGCTGGGTGACCAGGCATCTGCCTGGACCCAAACCAAGCCCACTCACTACATTTCCTGTTGTTCCCCAGCTTGGCCAGCCCACCTCTGTCTCCCTCAGTTGATGACACCCCACCAAGAGTGCTGAGGTATTTTCTTGCCTTGATAATTCTAGAAGGCATCCCAGCATAGAGGAATGATAGTCTTAGAGTCTAGGCTATTTTTAGCGCTTTTACAGGCTTCTTCTCTGACCTTTAGCCACCCGCTGTCCCATTTCGTCATTTGCAATGTAGACTGCTCCTACCTCGGCTGCAAAGCACTTGTGGGTTGGTAACAATTGGAGGTTTTTTTGTTTGGATCCCATTATAAATGGGATCTGTGCCTGAGACTGGCATCCGCGATTTTTAAAGTTTTTGGCAACACAGCTGATCATATCTAGCTTCTCAGGTGGGAAAATGCACATTTTCTTGATGCTGAGGGACTGCTCTGTAGTCTCCTTTCCATCCCCACTCTTCTCAAAACATTAATTTTTCCAGCCGCCCAAGAAACACAGCCTTTTACCTGAGCTGAGGCATCATAGGTGGCTGTTCACCGGGCAGATGGTCACTCTGCTGATCATAAACTCAGAGGAGCAGTTTCATTCCTTTTTTATTTTTTTGGTTGGTTCTGTGGTTTTTTTTGCAAGTTCTACAGGTTTGGCCAAAATATTTAGAGATGGGTGTTGATTAGGGGTATGTGATCTTGAGGGTCTTCATCCTTCTGCCTCTTCTTAGTCTCTCCTGAGGGAGGGTCTGCCAAGGTGAGGTGTTACTGCTCCACAGGAGGGTTTTGGATTCCTACTACAGCTCCCAGAGGGAACGGAGGAGAATGCCTTCCCCAGGCACCTTTAGCAGCACGTGGCTGGCAGCAACAGTGGTGACAGACACCCCAAAAAGCATTGAGGTGCTGGAGCGGGTCCAGAGAAGGACAGCGAAGCTGGTGAAGGGTCTGGAGCACAAGTCTTATGAGGAGAGGCTGAGGGAGCTGGGGTTGTTCAGCCTGGAGAAAAGGAGGCTGAGGGGAGACCTTATCGCTCTCTACAACCACCTGACAGGAGGGTGTAGAGAGGTTGGGGTTGATCTCTTCTCCCAAGTCACAGGCGTTAGGACAAGAGGAAATGGCCTCAAGTTGCACCCGGGGAGGTTCAGGTTGGACATTAGGAAGAATCTGTACATGTAAAGGGTTACCAGGCATTGGAATGGGCTGCCCAGGGAAGTGGTTGAGGCACCATCCCTGGAGGTGTTCAAAAGCCGGGTTCACATGTTGCTGGGGGCCATAGTTTAGTGATGGGTTTTTTTATCAGAGTTAGGTTGATGGTTGGACTAGATGATCTTGAAGGTCCCTTCCAACCTCGATGATTCTATGATTTTAAGTGGGTGCTCAGCAGTTCCAATACCCTCCTCTTCTCCCTCCCTCTCCCTTGGCCGGGCTGGCAGCCGGACGAGGCAGCGAACACCCTCTCCGGGGTGGCGACTGTGACTTTGCAGCATCCCCACCACCACCCCTGGCAGCCCCGGGAAGACTTGTAGCCGCGTCAGCCAAAATTCCTGCCGGGGACTGTGATGCAATGCAGCACACACACACACCCCCCCCCCCCCCCGGCCCCCCCCCCCCCCCCCCCGCCCCCCCCCCCCCCCCCCCCCCCCCCCCACGCCCCCCCCCGCCCCCCCCCC